TGTAGAGATTAAGCTTTGCATATGACCAAGTGGTAACGGCTCAAGATGAAGAAGATGTGCTATATGCTCCGAAAATTAGAAAAGGAATACACAAAAAATGGACTGAAAATAAACCTAGAAAAGACCAAATATTTACCAACAGAGCAAGAACCAGTAAGAAACTTGGAAATGGACGATGATAAGGAAATTAACGGCACTGAAAAATTGAAATATTTAGGATTCATACTCTCAAAAAATGGAACTAGCGACCAAGAGATAACCAGCAGATTAGCACAGACAAGAACATGTATTAAGCAAATAAATGGGGTACTGTGGGATAGACAGATTACCAGAAATACAAAGAAGATCATTTATAACACCTTGATACCCAGTATAATGACGTTTGGAGCAGAGAATTGGGTAATAAATAAACGAAACAGGTCCAAAATCACAGCAACTGAAATGGAGTTCATGAGAAGAAGCTGCAAAGTGACAAAAATAGATCGCATCAGAAATGAGGGGATAAAACGAAGAATGGCAGTAGAACAAGACATACTCAGCTACATCGAAGAAAAACGTTTAATTTGGTATGGGCATGTATAAACAAAACGATAGGTTGAGATGATTGTCAATGAAAATAATGGATATACACAATCAAAATATCGAAAGAAATAAAACAAGCTAAATCAATATCTAATAAAAGGAAAAAAGGGTTATGCATGCCTTGGATTATTACCGTTAAACGGGGTAAATAGAAACAATTTTGAGGTTTTCAGGTTTTGTATTTAGGTTGCTATTTATCTAATCGGCTACGAAAAATATGCAAAATGTGTGTTACGGCTAACAGGTTTAAGGGCCTTCTTCTTTTTCTTCAGCCCGTATTCGTCCACTGCTGGACATAGGCCTCTTCCATTTGCTTCCATTGATTTCTACTCTTGACAATTATTATCCACTGCTTGCCCGCGACTTGTTATATCATCTGCCCACCTCTTCTGTGGTCTGCCTACCCCTCGCCTGTTCTCTCTTGGTCTCCAGTTTGTTAATCTCTGTGTCCATTTTTCGGGATTATCTTGGGCAACATGTCCGACCCATTGCCACTTGAGCCTTACTATACGTTCTGCGACATCAATAATTCAATAATCTATGTTCTTTCCCGAATGTCGATATTTCGAATCCTGTCTCTGAAACTAATTCCTAGCATGGCCTTCTCCATCACTCTTTGGATTGTACTGAGCTACTCTAAGGTTTTCTTTGTAAAGGCCATGGTCTCCAGCTCATATGTAGTTACAGGCAATAGCTAAGGGTCTAGAGAGCATATTTAAAAAAGGTTCCCGATTGAAAAAAAATTTAAAAATAGTGTTTCTCTATTCACCTTCCAACCGGGGTGAAAGGAAACAATGCTTTGTTTTGCATTAATTTGGTTTATATACTATTCCGGAGGTCAATAGAGACATTTAAAAATATATTAGTAATATGTGCAATTAATTTTATTTGAATTTATATCGTTTATTAAGTATGAAAATATAGAAAAATATATAACTTTCTTACTTTAGGGAACACAAAAGACCTTGTTGCGTTGCAATAATTCTCATAGCATAACTTTTGTACTGCTATAACTATAGGAACAAAAATTACATATGTAGGAACAAATAAAAAAGTTTTAACTTAAATCTAGATCTGCTGCGTTAATTCTCGCAACAGAATCTTCATAAAAATAAAAGATTGCATTAATTAAGATCATTTTGATTGATGGGAAATTTAAGAATCTACCTATTTGAACTGCCTGGCAGCACGGAGTTATCAGATGGATAAGTTTGACCAACAACTTGGTCATGAAAAATGGCAAACGTCTGGTTTCGTGGGAAATCTATAAATAAACCCTGAGGATTGCTTGGTTTGGCTTGGATGCCTCAAAGAAGTTCCGTAAATGTCATCGTTTTCATAAATGGTTTTCAACACTTTTCCAATATAATACTTTTTAATCTTTCGTTTTTCCTAAAATTGGTTGAAAACGCAACTAGCAGATAATCTTATAGTTGAATAGATTCTTTCGAAACGGAATAAACCTGTTTAAAAATTTCACCTGTGTACGAAACACTAGCAAGAGGGACACTTGTCTGTCCAGTTTTTGGTTTTTAGCAATTTGGCTTAAAGGAATATTCATTTGCTCATCTTCTGATTCGACCTCCCCTTCACTTCTGTTAACGACCTCTTCATCTTTACTCGATTCATTCTCTTCTATATTTTTGTCGTTATGCACATCTGAATCAAGCTGTTCGTCTTCACTTTCTTCTTCTCAAAAGTCTGCTCCAATTACACTTTTACCAGCTACTACGGCGACCTTCTTTCTCTTTCGTCGTTGTGTAGGAATATCAGAATATCTCATGGATTGCAGCATATGACTTCTTGAACATTTGCAGGATTGGCACTAGGGAGTTGGTTTAGGACTTGATCACGATCTAATGAGTAGATCCCACATTTTCTAAAACCAGACTTAATATTTTTTTCTTGGTTGGGTCTGATGTTGTCCATCGGCTCTTTAACAAAATGAGAAAAGCGATCTTTAAGTATGGTAGCTGCCCTTCTTCCTTCACCCATTTTCCACTTGTCAGGAATTTTTCGCCATGTTTCTTTTAAAGGGCAAAAAAAAGCCACATCAATGGAGTGGGTCATATGTCTAGAATTTGATGGCAAAAAAATTAATGAGATATCATGTTCTAAGAACTCGGTTACAGTTTTGGAACGAAAATGGCGTGAGAGGTTGTCGCTGATTAGAATTTTTTTCCTGACAAGTCCTTAAGTGCTAGAATTACTAGTTTGGTGACCCAATCATCGAAGCTGATGGCATCAAACCAGCCGCTAGGGTTACGATTGTACCTCGCACCCTTTTATACCGCCAATTGTCCATGATTCGTACATGTTTTGAGCTTTATACACAATGTACGGAGGTAGCACCTTGCCATCAGCAGTTGCCGTAAACATGACGGACGTGCAGCTTTTGAAAGAGTTGCGCACTCGTTCGGGTAACGGCATCTTCGTTTTGTAATTATTCGTTTCCTCCCGGGATCGTCAGATAAATTCGTCTCATCGAAGTTTACAATATAAGACGGCGATATACCTTCTAGTTCTGCACCCAGGTGATCAAAATATACATTTAAAGTCTCGGGTGAAACCGCAGCTCGAGATCGTATAAGTTTTAATAAAGGCGTGTTCGTAGTCGTGCCTTATGGTTTTTCAAAAACACATGTACAAAATCCTTTCCTGGTAAGTTGTTGTTAAACTTAGGTATATTTTTACCCTGACTATATAGGTATATTTTACCATTACTTTAAGATCGTATTTATCTAAGGGATAGCACCAATCTGCACAAGTTATCAATTGTTTCAGTTAACTCTTCCAACTTTGGTAGTGTAGTTTGTCCTCCAGGTGTTTTTAAGTTAGAATTTTTATGCTGCCTATAGGGCACTAAATAATTAATTTTATGTACTTTGCTTGCCTCCCTAGAGAACATTCCATTTCTTATGTCGTTTAAGGTCCTTTCAAGAGCACTGAATAGTTTAGCTAATTTCATGTACTTTGCTTACCTCCCTAGAGAACATTCCATTTCTTATGTCATTTATGGCCCTTTCAAGAGCCTGATGATTGGTTTTTTTTGTAAAACTTGGACCTTAGATTATGTACATAGTCTCATGGCATGGTTAATCTGAAAGCAAAATAAAAAATACTGGAGAAAAAAAAAGAAAGCGGGCGAGTGGAAACACAACAGTGGGTGAAAAGAAACGGCGGGTGATTAGAAACTGCGGGTCAATAGAAACAGAATTCATCATCACGTAGCGCTACAACCCTGGGTGGGTCTTGGCTGACTGTACAACTTTTTTTTCCAATTTGTTTGGTCCAAGATCTGCTTGGATGTTATCTCTCCATCGCATTCTGGGACGTCCGAGTGGTCTTTTGCCTGTATGAATCTCCTCCCATACAATTTGTAAATAGAGAATTAGAGTAAAGTATTTACAGAAAAAAAAATTAACATTTACAAATGTAAATACAGAATTGGGGTCAGGTATTTACAAAAAAACATTCAAATCAAATTATTGGTATGTTATGATAAATTTGCCAAGTGTTTATATAAAGTATACACCTTAAGCTATATTATGACTAATTATCTATTTATTTAATTGATTGTTTCTTACCTTCGGGGTAATTAGTAAGACGTATTTGTTGTTAGAGATAATAATACAAAGTAAAATACAAGAAACTAACCATTCGAAAAGGCTATAGCGGGATAAGATGGTCAAAATTTTGAATCATGCTTGATTCAACATCAAAAAATTTTTTTAATACGTTTTTTCCCATAGCGAACCACCAGAAGCACCTAGGGACTTGAAAATGTAACTGAGTGAGTTTTTAATTACGTCCTTTCGAATGGTAAGTAAAATGTAACTGAGTGAGTTTTTAATTACGTCCTTTCGAATGGTAAGACCCAAAATTGAATCGAGCGTGGTGCAATTTTGACCATCTTATCCCGCTATAGCCTTTCCATTAGTTCATTTCCTAGTTAAATAATTTGAAAAGGTGGCATAAATTTGCCGGTGGACTGTTCACAGCTGCCGTATCAAAAGTAAAAAGAACCTTAAGATTTCCTAAGAGGAATTTCCTGAGGAAATTGATTGTTATGCTAGATTTCAACAATAAAAATCTGTATGGCTGATAAAAAACAAATGGAGAAGAATATAGATAGAAAGTTCTAGGAAAAGTGATTAAAAAAACAATGTAAAGGCAGGTAAAAACAGGTCGACAGGCTAGGACAATCGGTAAGTCATCCAGATTGTACATGAGTAGCGGAGTAGCAGCCCTACTCTAATAAGGAACAGTCTAAAAATTATTTATTATTTAATTCAAATTGTTTAGAATATACAGGACTGTATAAAAAATTTACGGTAATAAAAATATTTGTAGCTAACTAGATAAAAAAAAAGATAAATTATTATCTTTTATTAACTGATATATTTATTTTGTTGCAGATTGTTCGGCCTAGGACTATGGCTACCAGAACTTTTTATAAAATTTGAGAAGTACCATCTCTTGCATCCAAACTCTACAGTAACTATTGAAGAGCTCTCATCCTTACCTCAAGATAGCGAAAAATCTTGCCAACCATCTTTTGACCAATCAGTGATAATAAGCACGGTAGCAACTGGATCAACAGCGCTAATTTTCAACGGAATCTCTTGTTTAATAAGTACTAGAGTGTCTTCACGGAATATTACTCTGATGTTGACGTTCTTGGGAGGAATCTGTGCAGCGTGTATCTATTGGTTGACAACCTCGCTTCAGAATCTCATAGTTTCGTGTATTTTTCAAGCTACAATGCTGACTGCCAATATGAGTATCACCAGCATAGCAGTTGAACTTTTTCCCACCAGTATTGGCGGAATGGCAGTTTGTTTTGTGATATGTGCTGGAAGGATAGGAGCTGCCATCAGTAACGTAGTGTTTGCCTTTTTAATGGACGATTATTGTCAGTTGGCGATTTTTGCTGTCGCTTTTGTTCAGATAATAGGAGGAATACTATGTTTTTTGGTACCCTCTCAGAAAAAATGTCATACTAAAGCAGTTAAAAGTTGTGAAGAAACCAAGTTAAATAATTTGGAATTAGCTGCTATAAATAACCAATCAATTTACCCAAATTAAGTCAATCAAGTAATGAAGAAATTTTAAATCTTTGATAAGTTACAATTTTAATAGTATAAAAGGTGTGATTAATCTTCAAACTATGGGTGTGCTCATAATAGAATCTATGAAACTTAAAAAATCCAACTATTTATAGGTCAGATAATGTCGAGTGTATTTAATATAATAAAAATTAAAGCAAAACTTAATGTATATACTATAAGTTTATATGTTTATTTGTATAAAAATTAAAGTATAAATCAATATAAAAAAAAATTTAATAGTTTTTCTAAACCCATAATAAGTTAATGTTCCTCCTCATTCCTTGAGAACTTGTCAGGGCGTGGCGGCACTTTAAATATTATTAGCTTACTGTCTCTATTGGCTGCGATACTGTATTATATGGACGGCTTTATGTAGGGATTTTTCCAGCAAAGTCTTTATTTGGTCTGCCAATCGTGTTAGAGATCTTCTTCTTGGTCTTTCATCATCCAGCCTCAAAAGTCCACTGCTGAACATAGGCCTCTTCCTCATGTTTCCAACCCCGTCTATCTTGCGCCGCTCTTAGCCAGTTTTTATTGAGTCTTCTTAAATCGTCAGTCCATCTTGTAGGTGGTCGACCGACGCTTCTCTTGTCTTCCCTTGGCCTCCATTTCAATAACCTCTTTGTCCATCGCCCATCTGTCATTCTGGCTATGTGTCCTGCCTATCTCCATTTTAGTCTGGCTATCTTCTCGATGATGTCAGGCACTCCGGTTCTTCTCCTGATGTCTTCGTTTGTTACTCGGTCTCGGAGAGTTATTCCTAACATGGACCGCTCCATTCTTCTCTGCGTGAATCTCAGTTTGGTAGCTGCTGCTTTTGTTAAGGTAAGTGTTTCTGCTCCGTACGTCAAGACTGGGAGGACGCACTGATCAAATACCTTTCTCTTTAGGCATGTGGGCAGCTCACTTTTAAAAGTTTCTCTCAGTTTTCCAAATGCTGCCCACCCAAGGCCGACTCTTCTCTTCAGTTCATGAGTGTGGTTATGTCTGCCAATCATAATTTCATGTCCCAGGTATTTATATCTATCTACGAGTTCTATTTCTTTCCCACCAATACGGATGTTCTGGTTGGGCACCAAATTGATCATGATTTTTGTTTTCATTTTCCATGTTTACATTTTCTGTAGCCACAACGAGTTCCTGTACCATCTCTCTTGCCATACCTAGATCTTCAGCTATTATAAGTATATCATCGGCGAAATGTAAGTTGTTTAGATATTCTCCATCTATTTTTATTCCCTTTGTCATCCAATCCAAATTCTTAAAAGCATGTTCTAGCACGGTATTAAAAAGTTTAGGTGACATTGGGTCTCCTTGTCTAACCCCCCGTTCTATTTTTATGCGATTACTGTTAGTATGTAATTTGACAGTGGTTGTTGCCTGCAGGTATATTTTGTATAATAATTTAGTATATCTATAATCTAGCCTGCATTCTTTAAGCGCCTGTAATATTTTGCTTAGCTTAACTGTGTCAAAGGCTTTGTGAAAATCGATAAATATTAGAACTAGAGGTTTATTGTATTCCACTGCTTTCTCTATTAGGGTTTTTATACTTTGTAGATGGTCATTTGTTCCGTAACTTTTTCGGAATCCTGCCTGTTCCCTTGGTTGATAAGTCTCTAATTTTCTTTCCATTCTCTTAACTAGTATTCGAGTAAACAACTTATATATATGGCTGAGGAGGCTAATCGGTCTGTAATTCTCTAAATTTGCTTTGTCTCCTGCTTTGTGTAATAGAATCATAGTAACGTTGTTCCAGTCTGTTGGAATATTGGCGCTGTGAAGGCAGATATTGAAAATTTGTTTAATTTTTTCAAGTAATACATCCCCTCCAATTTTTAGTACTTCTGATACTATTCCATCTTCACCCGGGGTTCGATTATTTTTCATTTTCTTCAGGGCTTCTTTGATTTCTGATTTTGTTATATTGGGCATTAAATCTGATCCTTGGTTTAATACCCCAGTTTTTAATGTAATTGGAGGTTCCGTATTGTTATCTTTTTTTCTTGATCTATATAGCTCTGTGTAGAACTCTTCGACTATTCCTAATATTTCATCTCTGTTCGTTGTTTCTTCTCCAGTTCTGTTTCTCAGTTTGTTAATTTCTATTTTCCCCTTTTGTACGCTCCTCTTCAAAACTTTCATGTTTTTATTTTTCTCTATTGCCTGTTTTGTTTTTTCTACATTGTAGTTTCTTATGTCTTTTCTTATTGCCTTTGTGATCGTTTTCATGGGTTGACTCAGTTTTTCATCTTTTTTGCTTGTCGGACAATATTTAGTTTGAGCCTGTTGCATTGTGTTGACTATTTGTTTGTTCAATATATTGATGTCAGCTGTTGTTGTATCTTTTAATGAATTCCCAATATATTTTTCGAACTCCTGAATGTTAGTTGGTTTTGTCCATTTCTTTGGTTGTTTCTTATTTATCATTTTGAGTCTTTCTTTTTAGGTTGATATCGTTATTTTAGCTCTTTCTAACCTATGATCACTGCTTGTACTGAACTGGTTTAGCACATTTACGTCTTTAAATAATTATTTTTTGTTTGTTAAGAAATAGTCGATTTCGTTCCTTGTTTTTCCATCAGGACTTTCCCATGTCCATCTTCTGTGTTTTTTCTTTTTAAAGAAGCTGTTCATTTGATAGAGATTGTTTTCCAAAAGGAAAGCCAGTAGTTGTTTGCCTCTATCATGTCTACCTTCGCTTCCAAAATTTCCCAATATTATTTCAGAGGGGTCTTCCTTAGTGCCTATTTTGGCGTTGAAGTCACCATCTATTATTAAGAAGTGGCCAGGATTTTCCTTGATTGCACAGGATATTTGGTCGTAGAATATTTGGACTTCTTCGTCTGGATGTCCTGTAGTAGGGGCGTACACTTGAATGAACTTTAGGATATATCTGGCGTTTATTTTGATGTTTAAGTAGACCACTCTTGTTGAGATTTGGTTTATTGACACAATTCTGTTAGCAATTCTTTTGTGAATAAAGAATCCGACGCCTCCGACTGTCGATTCCTCTTCTCCTTTGTAATAAAATAAATGGCCTGATGGGAGTGAGGTAAGACTCTCTCTCCTCTTTTTTCTAACTTCGCTGATACCTACAATATCCCAGTTCACTTTTGAGAGTTCTTCCTCCATTTCTTCGAATCTTTCTTCGGTAGAAAGTGACCGAACATTATATGTGGCGATGTTGAGGTTTATATTTTTGACGCACATTGAATAGGGTTGGTTTACAGTGGTCGGGTTTTTGGCATTTAAACACCGTGCTTGCCTAGCATGTTGGTGAGTATTCATATTTAATCCCACGAGTAGCTGGGGAACGTTGGTCGATTCCTGTAGAGCCCCGCGTACAGGAACAAGGCTAATATTCAATGGGATTTCGCCCGGTGTCCCAAGAGCATCGTTAGCGGCCGCGTGACGTGCAACCATTCAGTTTTTAGCACGATAGCTTCCACCTTAACTTACGGATTTTTTGCATCTGGTTTTCTCCATATTTTTTGTTGGGTAGGATGGGGAGGGAAAGAAGGTGTGGATGGGAAGAATATATTAGAAAGAAATATAGTGACCCGTCTGCCTTCGGAAACCTAATCGCCATTCGGGGTCGGAAGAAAACAAGAGTTAGCCAAGAGAGGCTGATAGAAAAAGATTAAAGACATTTCACTCAAGACAAGTTGAAGAAGAGTAAAATGTGAAGGCTCTTATGATCCGCCAGGTGCGTTTCATAAGAGTATGAGTATTGGTACATTTTGTGTTCCCGCTCATACTTCGGGGTGTTGACTACAGACTGTATGGCTCGTCCAGCATTCCATAGCATGGATGGATGGGGTGCACGCCATTTTACAATGTACATACTCCAAACTCCATGGCCTGACAAATTCTTGGTCTTTGGCCTTCTACATTTCCTTCTACTATCAATAGTTCCATCGTCCCCGTTCTTCTAATGTGGCCGAAGTAGGCATGTTCACTTTACTTTTATTAATAGCCTGTCTTTGTCGAAGAAATCGACAACATTGATATTCAAGATATTCAAGAAACAAAAACAACATGGATGAACTATGTGACAACAACATTTGAAGACGATAGGAATGTCATCATCACACACAATAAAAATGACGATACCGGACCAGCTATTCTCGAAACGGAAATATAAGCTGCTATAAACAACATTAAGGAGGGAAAAGCCGCAGGACCAGATGAGTTCTACTCAGAATATTTAAAAATTATGGATAAAGACTAAGTCAAAAGACTTAACCTTGATCTTCAACAATATATACCAAAGTGGAAAAATAGCCAAAAAATGTGAAGATTATCGAATAATAAGCCTTATGAGCCATCTCATGAAAACTTTTTTAAAAATTATACATAAAAGAATATATAAAAAGTGTGAAGAACACATGACAAATACACAATTCGACTTCAGGGATACATTGGGTACACGAGAGGCACTTGTTGCAATACAAGTTTTCTTCCAAAGATGTAGAGACGTGAATTGTGATATATATATATATATATATGTGTGTGTTTTGTGGATTACCAGAAAGCCTTCGATATAATAAAATATGACGAACTGATAAAAATATTAAATTTAATTGGTCTAGACAGCAGAGATCGCCGTATAATAAACAATATATATTACGAACAAACTGCAGCTGTTAGAGTTGGGAATCAGTTAACAGACGACATAAAGATAAAAAGAGGTATGCGTCAGGGATGTATATTGTCCCCATTATTGTTCAATACATATTCAAAGCATATTATGAACTTAGCGCGCTAATGGACATAGACGAGGGAATACTTATAAATGGAGAACGATTGAACAACATAAGATACGCTGATGATACTGACATTTTTGCAGACAGTCTTGAAGGTCCGCAGCCACTCGTCTCCAGGGTGGCAGAAGTAAGTAGCAGATTTGGGCTTGATTTTAACATAAAAATATACATGGTTATAAGCAAAAATAGGATACCAACTGGTCAATTA